ATTGTGCACCATATTCCCAATATTGGTCCGATTGAAGCAAAATTTTGCACAGAGTATTGAATTAGGTACCGACTGATGTATGGGAAATTTCTATATCTACCCATAGTGGTGAAGGGTATCATATAGTCGGCCCCGTCCGACTTTTGAGCTTTCCTTACTGGTTTAAATAGGAAAAACTGCGCACAAGATCGACTTGCCTGGAAATCTCTTCTAACCTCAACTTATGGAACAAATGTTCTGTCTCGAGTCAGTTTGGTATTACGTCTATACAAAACTCCCGATCGATTTTATATATTTTACATATCATTGTGGAGGATATGAAAACTGTCATTTTTTTTTTGGATTTTCCTCTAATCCAGTAGTAATATGAGTCTTATATTTTAAAAGTGGTTTAAGTCCATTTATAATAATATTGAGATATTGGATTTAATTTGTTTCAAAAATATTGTTAAGTGGGTTTTTGTTTGTAGGTTTGTGCCCTTAAATATGTACACTTTTCTTGAAATCGAATATTTATAACAGAACCTTAAATTTACTTAAATCACTTTCAAAATAAACGGTCATATTTGATACTTTTATTATATAAACACACTGTTACTTCACTATTAATTCAATAGTGTTCTCCATATTCACAACTAACATTAACGTCCATTATAATTTCCCTCATTCTACCCCACCTTACTGTATTTGTCACCCCAACTTAATGTTTTTTTGTTTTTATCAATAATAAATCACAGCAAGCTATTGGCATTAAAAAACGATGATAGTAAATTTCATAGTTGTTATATTTTACAATAACACAACATTATTAGTTCGTACTATCTGCTATTGAATAACACTTGAAAGATAAGACCCACACGAAAGATTATTTATGACCAACGAGAAGTCTGTCAACGTAATAAGTGAGCAAACTAATTATCGGATTTATTTGTCTGGAAAATATTTATTTCGTATTTTTGTAAACAATAAAAATACTGAAATCGGAATCGCAGTGATTTTACAATGTCAAGTGGTGTATGTAGCACAAGACTTAGTCGGATTTAGTTTCTGTAATGCAAATAATTTGCGCAATTTATAGTCATTTGAAAGAATTTATTTTTTTATTATGTCATTTCCTAATTATTATTGTTTCATGAAAATTTCTACGAATTTAACCAAGTGAGATTAGTTTCTTTAAAGAAATTTTTCGGCAGATGGCTGTACTGATAGATTTTTCTGTAACAACGACGAAAATGCAAGCAAAGCGGCTAATATTGTGAATGGTATTTATGGTTCCGATACTGTCGCAGCCAATTATGTGCAATTTTGGTTTCGTAGATTCCTTTTAGGAATTTTTGATGTTAAAGCTGCTCCTCGCAAATGCTGGTCGTCGAAAATGTCGATAAAATCGGAGAAATGATCGAAGTTGATTGGCATGTTAGCAGTCGTAACATCGCAAGGAGCTAAGAACGACCATAACTGTAGCCATAACCAATTACAAAACTTTTAGGAAAGTAGTAAACTTTGGGTATATTTTACATGTCTCCTAATAGACTCCGACTTTTCGAATGAATATTGGCATGAAATTGAACAAACTTAAATATGCGATCTTTTTGGAACCTATGCTAAATTTCATTTCATTCGGGCAAGTTTAGAGTCGTTTGCGTACAATGGGACAAATTTATGTAAATCGATTTTATTTAAATAAATTTAATCTAAATCAGATACCTGTTTGTCGCCTTTTCGAAGGAACATTGACATGCAATTGAGCGAACTTAAATCTGAATCTAACACGATTTTCTCGAAAGCTATGGTAGGGACAGATTTCTATCTCAAAGGCACGGATATCCCAATGAACATGCAGAACAACCACAACATAAAGTCTAAATACAAATACAGAAAAACACAAATTTTCTGTAAATGCACTTGTCCTTAGCGAACAAATATATAAAAGAGTTTGTCAGAAACACTTCAACGTACAAAACATTCAATTATAGTAACTTCTGTACATTGTACAAAATTGTGTGCAGGTCGGCACAAAATTGGGTCTTTAGTGCACAATTTACATTAAATCGGACGAAAATATATATATATGGGAGCTAAATCTAAATCTGAACCGATTTTCACGAAACTTAGCACACATCATTCTGGAATTAATTCTGTACCCTATGCCCAATTTCGTGCAAATCGAAAGATATATAGGGACTTTGGTGCCCCATTCACATTAAATCGGACGAATATACATGGGAGCTATATCTAAATCCGAACCGATTTTCAGGAAACTTAACACACATCATTATAGACCTAATTCAGTACCCTATGCCCAATTTCGTGCAAATCGAAAGATATATAGGGACCGTTTACATAAAATCGGAATCTGAACCGATTTTCTTCAACTTCAATAGGGTTCGTCCTTGGGCCAAATTTCATCCAAATGCGACCTGTACTTTGTTTACAATTTAACATCTAGAGGCAGACAGACAGACGGACGGGTATGCATAAATCTACTCATATTTTTTCTGAAATTCCATGTGTCTATCTCGTTTCCTTTTGACTGTTACAAACATATGCACAAATACATAATAGCCTGTACCACAGTGTGGTGAAGGGTATAAAAAAACAAACTATAACGTCATTCTAATCTCAAATTTTCAATCGTACAGACTGTTGGTCTTTAGGGCATACTTTACATAAAATCGAAGGAATATACATATGGGAGCTATATCTAAAACGGAACCAATTTTCACGAAACTAAACACACATCATTCTAGGCTCAGTTCAATACGCTATGCCAAATTTCGTGCCAATCGAAAGATATATGGGGACTTTGGGCCACCATATCTATATCTAAACCTCAGCCGATTTTCACGAAATTATGCACTTATTTCAGTACGCTATGCCAAATTTCGTGCAAATCGAACGATATATAATGATAATTTCGTCCTTGGGCCAAATTTCATCCAAATCGTATTATAAATGCGACCTGCACTTTATTTACAATTTAACACCAACAGACGGACGGACATGCATAAATCGACTCAGAAATTGATTCTATGCATATCCTCAAAAGGAACCATCGGTCTATCTCGATTCCTTTTGCCTCTTACAAACAAATGCACAAAGACATAATACCCACTACCACAGTGTGGTTAAGGGTATAAAAAGGGTTCGTTTTGCCCAACCTAATATATTTTAGAGGTCCAAATGAGAGCAGATGTTTAAATAGATATATTTTCTAGATCCAGAGGAGCTTACATTTGTTACAGAAATATTTTAAGGGTAGATTGTTTATTAAAAGAAATATTTTTATGGGTTCATATGAGCGTAGATTTTTTTTAAATATTTTAAGGGACCATATGAGAGTAGATTTATTTAAAATGTTATGTGTCTATATCTTAAATTTTTTACAGAAATATTTTTTTGGGCTCCAACTGATGTTTGTACGTTCATAAAGGTTCAATGGAGCGTAGATTTTTTAACGAAATAGTTTTAATTTGTATACCCTACACAACTATGTTGTCAGGGTATTATAGCTTTGTACAGCCCCAAAAGTTTGTAACGCCGCGAAATATTGGTCCTAGACCCACCTTTAAGTATACCGATCGTCATATCTCGACTAGCTGAGTCGATCTAGACATGTGTGTCCGTCCGTCCTTCCGTCTGTCCATTATAATTTGTAAACACGATACTGGCCACAATTATGGACCAATCTTCACGAAATTTTGCATGTAGAATGGGTTCTGGCCAATGAAGACCCCTATTGTTTTTAGAAAAGGTCGGTTAATAATTAGGGGATGAAATGGACCAAAAACTTTATTTTTGTCTGATTTTCTGGTCGCTCCAGAGGCCGCAATTATGGCTCATTTTTGCATGGAGAAGGGGATCGGGACAAAGAAAAAGTATGCCTGTTTTGAAAAAGATCGGTCAATATTTAGCGGGTCAAATGGACCCTGACTTTTGTGTGAAAAATGACAAAATTTGTATTCTATGGCGTATATATTTGCCCCTGAAGGACCTAGACCCAAAAAGTTGATAGTATGTTAAAGAGGAGTGGTTGATCTTTAAATTGATACCAATTATAGGGTCGTATGTACTCAGATGTGGGAGCTACACTTAAATATTTACAGGCGCTTACGTGTTCAGATATTATATAGTAACCCTTAGCACACTAGAGGCCGGAAATATGACGCTGATCGATTTGAAATTTTCCATGGGGTTCCAGTTATGGTCAAGGACAACGCCTATAACTTTCGGTGATGATCAGAAAATAATTTTGGGATGAAGTGGACCGAAAACTTATTTTTTTGTGTTATTTTCGAGTCGATCTATAGACCACAACAAATGAAAGCCGAACATCACAACACAACCCACGGTGAAAGGAATCTGGACAATAGCTGTACTGAATACTCGTAATATTCGGAAAATATGTCAGTGTAAGGAAGAAGTGCTGCTTACCTCTAATCGGGCAAGAGGGTGCAAATACGAAATATTGCCCAGGCTCGGAATAAACATCCGCAGAAAGTTCGGTTTCCGTGGTAGTTGTGTAGGGTATCATATGGTCGACCCCGTCCGATTATACTGCTCCGCTCACTGGTTTTTATTTAATTTTTTTGCATTTTGCATTTTGGTCCCAATGAGGTTCCAAATAGGGTAGATTTTTTAAAGAAATATTTTTAAGGGTCCATATGAGCGTAAATTTATAAAATAAGGTTCCAAATAGGTTAGATTTTTAAAGAAATATTTTATTAGGCTCCCAAAGATCGTAGATTTTATAAAGAAATATTTTATAAAGGTCCATGTTTTAAGTCCAATTGAGCCCAGCTTGTTTCAAGGAATATTGTTTGAAGCGTACATTTTGTAAGGAATATTTTTCAAGATTCACCTTAGAGTCGATTTTTTAGGGTTCAACTAAAGGCATATTTTTGCAAAATAAATTTTCAACAGAAACCAGTTTATGTAAAGTTTTTTATAGAAACTATTTTTTTTTTATTCGTTAATTTTAAATTTTCCAAACATAACACTTATTTACAACATCCACCTCATACAGCTTCAGCAAAACCCACACGATTATTGGCGAAATCGAAAACTGTGTAGTATTTGCCAATAAAGACATCGCCCAATATCCAGAAATCGGTACCCATTTCGGTGAACGAAGACATACATTGACCATCGATCTCGACAATGTAGGCACTGGGAGGCAATGTGAAGGTGGTACCGCCAATAACGAAGGTAACATCTGGCAAGCTGTCAATAGCAGAACAGTCAACATAATAACCACCTTGTTCATCATTGTAGGTGGCACCGATTTCCGCATTCAAAGTCTCATAAGCAGCAGAGGGGCATACAATCAAGCTGGTACCAGTATCAGCAATAGCTTGGCAGTTATCGCAAATGCTTTCACCCTTAATGGCTCCAGAGGTCATTTCAAATTGCCAATAGCCCTGTTTGGTAACAGGTACATATGTAATTTCGCCAGTATACAAGCTAGAATCAATACCACCCAAAATCAACTCACCACCATCCGTGGAGCTACCATCACGCCTCAAGAGGAACGAGAACATATTGGCATCAACCAAACCTTGTGTGAACATATTGTAGAAGGGCGGGACAACAACATCTTCAGCCAACGATTTGTAACCCATACCGAAAATACCATCAAAATTGGAGTCAGTAAAAGTATTGCCGGGTTCATGCATAGCTTCGGCGAATACTTGATTCTTGATAGTCAACCCTTCAACGGTAACATCATCCTGAGACAAAAATCCACTCATACTGCCCGAACCATAAGCAATGGAGACTGGTTGACCATTTCTGACATAGGTACTGGATGCGTCATGATTGTATTGATTGTGTTTCTTGCAGGCAAGATCCCAAATCCAGCAATGACTTGAGGGAACCCACAAATTGGAGGAGCCAGTATCGAACAACACAACAAATTTCTGAGGTGGTGTTCCAATGGTGATGTCACCGTAATATTCCATGTTTAAAGAATTTCCCAAAAGTTCGTCGACAATCGAACGCGGTTGACCCAAATGATATTTGGAACGTAACACCGTCTCTTCAGCACGGACATCGCGTCTAGTCTTGACAAAATTCGGATGCTTTCGAATTGGTACACGAACCAATTCAGCACTGGCTACGGCCAACACAATGGCTAATAATGCGATGTACTTGAACATTTTGAAACGCTGCAAAATAAGAAGTTAAAAATTAGAAATTCAATAAATTAATATTGAAATATATATTACCTTGGATATAATTGTGGTTTTCTTAAACGAAATACCCCAATTACTGTTTTGAATTGGAACTCATTGGCTATATTTATAGAAAAATCAAGTTATTGTTTAACAAATTTATATCGAATGAAAGTTTAATTTCTTTTAATGATAAGACAAACCATTCTACCTCAATAATATCTAATTAGTTTTATAGAAGAAAATGTTTATCCAAACAGAAGCGCTCGATAAGATAAGCACTTATATACCATGGGGGTTCGGATTTCCAAATAATAGGGTGAACTTTGTGCATATAGGCAAGTATGCTACTCATCCCGTATTCTGAAGCTATTATTCGTATTATTTATAGAAACTCGTGAGACATCGTGTCATTATGGATTTTAGACAATTTGTTGTTGTTTTCTGTAATTAAATAGAAGTTTTGGTGCCACTTCGGAAATCAAATATTTCAACGATATTAAAAAGTGTATTTTTGGCCCTGTCATGAACTGGGGTTATTAATTTTAATAAAGTTTAGTGTATATCCATCTGAGACTTCATTAAATACATAGATTATTGATCCGAATAAAATTCTATTTCAATTCACCTATGTCCGTCCGTCTGTCAGTCTGTTAAAATCACGAGGAGCTCGCAATATTAAAGACAGATCTGTGAAATACACATTCATTACTATTACTTCTAGGATTTTTGGTATTGAATATGGGATATCATTGGATAACAAATCTTACTGCCGAAAATAAATAATATTGCTCCATTTATTAGGATAGTCCCCATATAGCGTTACCCCCAAAATTTCGACTAAAATTGATATGGGAGCTATACCTAAATCTGAACTGATTTTCACGAAACATGACACACATAATTCTAGACTTTATTCGAAAGATATATAGTGACTTTGGTACACCATTTCGAGGTCTAGAATGATGTGTGCTAAATTTCGTGAAAACCGGTTCTGATTTAGATATAGCTCCCTTATATAGTTTCGTCCGATTTTAGGTAAATGGTGTACCAAAGTCCCTGAAAATCATTCGAATTTTGGCATAGAGTATTGAGTTAAGTCTAGAATGATGTGAACACCTTCTATATATATTTTCGTCGGTTTTAAGTAAATTGTGCATTAAAGATCCATAGCTAGGCCAATTGACACAACGTACTGAAGTTAATATAAATTAATCTCTGGCAGGTATGCATGAAATCGGTTCAGATATACATATATCGTAGCTTCCATATATAATTTCGACTTATTTATGTCAATTATACACCAAATAATCAATGGGTGTCTGATTGAGTTTACATTTTAAACAGTGCAGCATACCGAATAGCGTGTGTCAAGTTTGCTTTAAATCGATTGACACAAATCTGTCCCACTGTGCACAAACGACTCTAAACTTGCCCAAATGAAATATATGTAGGGACTTTGGTACACCATTTACATTAAATTGGACTGTGAATGAGCTGTGCCAAATTTCATCCAATTCGACAGATAGACAGACGGACGGACATACATAAATCGATTCAGAAAGTGATTCTATGCATATTCTCAAAAGGAACCATGGATCTATCTCGTTTCCTTTTGCCTGTTACAAACATATGCACAAATACATAATACCCTTCCATATATATTTCCGATTTTATATAAATGGTGTACTAATTAACTAACGTTTTTCCGATTTGGACGAATTTGTGCACTTCGAAATTGGAGCTAAAATAGCGCGTATTCAGATTTGTAAAATATATTCAGATGTTGACATATAGCTCCCATCAATAATTTTGCTCAATTTCATTGAAAAAATGCACCAAAGAATCCAAAGCTGCCCGATTGACATGACATTTTTCAATGATTTCAGAATAGAATGTGTATGGTTTTTTTATTAGTTCAAATAACTACAAATTTGATTTCACCCGACTCTATTTCAATGGTCCTACAAAGATGATATGTCCATGATAAACTTAAATATGTCCAAACACTGCAATTTGAGATGTATCGTTATATTAGAGGTGCTGTAAAAAGTGAACCGATACTCAAAATTTTTGGTAGGAAAAATATAAAATTGCAGAAAATTCGGTTGAAATCCGAGGTTACCGTTATATGGGTTATACACGAAAACGTTTTCAACAGCAATCAATAATTATAGGAATAGTATCAGTATATGTGAGAAGTATTAAAGCTCTATATTAAATATTGTGAGATCTATCGTGCTTTCAATGGAATCGTGGTTATACGATCACTGGCCCAAGAAACAAAAAAGAGAAGATAAGTCATTGTGTACTTTTACAATAGGAGTCCTCCCACCAGTGCTGCCAGTTAAATTTCATGAAAAATCGTCAATTTTTCAGAAAAAAATCGGCATAATCGGCATTTGTGTTTTTAAAAAACGGCAAAAAATCGGCAGCATATAATTTATAAATAAATTCATATTTTTTTTTTGTTTATAACAAATCAATATTGTTTATTACATTAAAAAAAGATAACAAATTCAATTCTGTATAAAAAAAATAACATAAAAGTTTAATTTTTCTACAAAAAATGTAGATTTTTCTAAAATATAGTAATTATTATGTACACTAGTGAGATCTTTCAGATTTACGTATAACACAGTGTGGTATTAAGGTCATAAAAATAGCTTACATACTAGTGCATATTTTTATTACACATTTTTAGTAAATCATTATCAATTTTGATATTAAAACAATTTGAATTCCGAGCTTCTAATTTTAGTTTTGTTAAGGTTTACCTGACTAAAAATTCGTTCCACATTTGCTGTGGAGTGTGGAAGAACCATAATTCTTTGTACAAATTTAGACAAAACTGGAAAAGCTAAATTGGAGTCCCCACGTTTAATTTCGGAAATTTTTTTCCAAAAACTTTTTAAATTATATTCTGCATTTTCAAAAATTTCTTCAAAATTCGGAAAGTTTAACTCCCTAAACTCGGAGTCTAAAGATTTGCCTTATTCGATGTAAAATGTAAACTAGACAGAGTACAATGCTGACAAAAAATGCAGATATCTAAGCCATTGAAAACGGCTGCGGCGAGTCGCCGATAGTTATAATGATTTAAAGCTGTCAATTTTATATGATTGTATGGTAACGCCGTATTAAATTAAAAAGTTAGACTATTTGTGTCGATTGTTGAAATATCGGCAATTCTGAGGCAAAAATCGGAAAATCGGCATTTTCCATTTTTAGAGTGAAAAATCGTCAAAATGCCGATAAATCGGCAAATATGGCAGCCCTGCCTCCCACCACGGCTCTAACAAACCAGTGAGCGGAGCAGTATAGTCGGACGGGGCCGACCATACGATATTCCTTTCCATATTCCTTTCACAGTGGGTTGTGTTGTGATGTTCGGCTTTCAATTTTGTTTTTTTTTTCGAGTCGATCTATAACTCGAAAAAAATACAAAAATTAAATTTTCGGTCCATTTCATCCCAAAATTGTTATCTGATCATCACCGAAAATTATAGGCGTTGTCCTTGACCATACCTGTATCCCTATGGAAAATGTCGAAGCGATCAGCGCTATATTTCCGCCATATAGTGTGGTAATGGGTTACTGAATAATATCTGTATATGTAAGCACCTGTATTTAAGTGTAACTCCCATATTCAAGTACATACGGCAATATGATTGGTATCAATTTAAAGGTCAACCACTCCTCTTGGATATACTATCGGCTTCTAGGGTCTATGTCCTTCAGGAGTAAATATATACGCTATAGAATACAAATTTTGTGATTTTTCACACAAAAGTCAGGGTCCATTTGACCTGCTAAATATTGACCGATCTTTATCAAAACAGGCATGCTTATTCTTTGGCCAGACCCCCCTCTACATGTGAAAATTCGCGACGTTTGGGCCATAAGTGCGGCCTCTGGAGCGATCAGAAAATCAGACAAAAATAAAGTTTTTGGTCCATTTCATTTCCTTAATATTATCGGATCTTTTCCAAAAGCAATAGGGGTCAGAACCCATCCTACATGCAAACTTTCGTGATGATTGGTCCATAAATGTGGCCTGTATCGTGTTTACAAATTATAATGGACAGACGGGCGGACGGACGATCGAGATATGACGATCGGTATACTTAAAGGTGGGTCTAGGACCAATATTTCGCGGCGTTACAAACTCTTGGGGCTGCACAAAGTTATAATACCCTGCCAACATAGTTGTGTAGTGTATAAATAGTGGAATTGATGGGTCATTTGCCGTACAAAATTCTCGCACATTAAGAAAATATGTGTGGTTTTCGTAATCAGAGGATCCGGATCAAGCGTTCATATGTTTGCATCTATCCAGGGTATTTAAAATATATTAAAAATTCCCTATATAACTTAATCATCAATTAGTACCTGATTATTAAGTGCACAAACTGACTGCAGATATAAACAATAAAATAATTATCTTGCAATTTCACAAATAATTTGTTTTTAACAAACCAATATTTGACCCCATTATTTTGGGAAATCGAAATTTCCCATATGGTTATCTTATCATCTGGCGTCTGCTATGGTAAACATATTGTTCTCTATGACAATAATTAGATATCATCGTGATTTTAAGTGCATTTTTTGTGAATGTATTATCTTGAAAAGTGTGTCAAACTTTCTTTTGATACTGAAATATACCAGACATTTGATAGATTATCCTTTTGGTATAAATATGGCGAATTCGCCACAATACAAAATAGTAATTGGGTTGTTTCTTTTCGGAAAACCTCAATTAAAACTAAGGTAATACAATAATAAATCTACAAACAATATTTCAATATTTCTAATACAACTCCTTTTTTACAGTTTCTCAACATGTTCAAATACTTCGCTTTGTTAGCCATCGTCTTGGCTATCGCCAGTGCCGAATTGGTCCGTGTACCAATTCACAAGCATGAGAATTTTGTCAAGACCGCCAAGGATATTCGTGCTGAAAAATCTGTATTGGCTACCAAATATCATTTGGGGCAACGCCGTGATATCACCGATGAACCCTTGGAAAACTCCTTGAACATGGCCTACTATGGTGACATCACCATTGGTACACCACCCCAGAAATTTGTTGTGTTGTTCGATACTGGCTCCTCCAATTTGTGGGTTCCCTCTAGCCGCTGTTGGATTTGGGATATTGCCTGCAAGAAACACAACCAATACAATCACGATGATTCCAGCACCTATGTCGCCAATGGCGAGCAAATCTCCATTTCTTATGGCTCCGGCAGTATGAGCGGCTTCTTGTCCCAGGATGATGTAACCGTTGAAGGTTTGACCATTAAGAATCAAGTATTCGCTGAGGCTATGAATGAACCCGGTAGCAGCTTCACCGATTCCAATTTCGATGGTATTTTCGGCATGGCCTATCAATCGTTGGCTGAAGACAATGTTGTGCCTCCCTTCTACAATATGTATTCGCAAGGTTTAGTTGATGCCGATATGTTCTCCTTCCTCTTGAACCGTGATGGTACCTCTACCGATGGTGGTCAATTGATTTTGGGTGGTGTTGATTCCAGCTTGTACACCGGTGATATTACCTATGTTCCCGTTTCCCAACAAGGCTATTGGCAATTCGAAGTTACCTCTGGTGCCATCAATGGCCAGAGCATTTGTGATAACTGCCAAGCTATTGCTGATACCGGCACCAGCTTGATTGTATGCCCCTCTGCCGCCTATGAAACCTTGAACACTGAAATCGGTGGCACCTACAATGAAGATGAAGGCGCCTACTATGTTGACTGTTCGGCTGTTGATACCTTACCCGATGTCACCTTCGTTATTGGTGGTACCACCTTCACTTTGCCTCCCAGTGCCTACATTGTTGAGGTCGATGGCCAGTGTATGTCTTCGTTCACCGAAATGGGTACCGATTTCTGGATTTTGGGTGATGTCTTCATTGGCAAATATTACACTGTTTTCGATTTCGGAAATAACCGTGTTGGTTTTGCTGAAGCTGTTTAAGGGGGTTGATGTGAAGAAAGTGTAATATGTTTCGGACTGTAAATAATATGTAAATAAAAATTTGGTTTAATGCAATAATATAAATGTGTTGAAATATTTTTTTTAAGATAAATAATTTTTTTGGTCTGAGGTGAATATTTTAAATTTCAAGGTGCTGCGAAGTGAAATAATTTATTTGGTCTGAGGTGAATATTTTAAATTTCAAGGTGTTGCGAAGTGATCTCAAGCGACATCTACAAAACCTTTTGTTAATATGTTAGGTTTATGTCTAAGCTTGTACTATTGTGTATTCACAATGGCCAACATGGCGGTGGTCAGTGACATTTCTATTCGTAAGATGTCGCACGTGTATGATTTTAAATATTCAGCGGATACCCCACGTCCGTCTGTCTTTTGATATCACGAAAGTGCTCATTATATTTCCGATGAAGGTTTGAAATTTTGCACATCAAATGCTACTACACCTACAAAGATTGGTATGGAAAATGTGATGTGATTACATATCTGGCTTATGTCAGAACCTTTGTTCGATAAGACGAGCTTTAAAAAGATTTTCAAACTCGTCGGTCTTATGCGCTACTCTTCGAATTTGAAAGACCTTTGTTTAATTATGAAAGACATTTGTTTAATTATGGTGCTACCAAGGTATATAAAATTATTGACTACCTCGAAGCAGTAGTTCTCATGTTCCACAGCTGGTCCGTTTTGGTATTGTAGTCCCCATGTAACGCATCCGCATTATTTTAAATATTATGAAGGCTTTAGCCGATATAGGTGCAAACTTCATTTTTGTCTGTTTTTCTGGTCGTTATCGAGCCTATTAATTATGACCCGAACACCACACAGTCTTACACGAAGAATGGGATTTAGCCAAAGAATAAGAATAACTGTCTTGATGAAGATCCAGAGAGGAGCGATTGACATTTATATTGATACCAATTATATTGGTGTATGTCCTCGGATGTGGGAGTTATACCAAAATACTTACGGGGATCTACCTGTTGATTCGGAAAAGATGCCAGTCGAGGAAAAAGGAGCTGTTAAGCTCTAATCGGTTAAAGGGATGTAGCTATTGCGAAGTATATAGGCGGAAATACCCGCGGAATGTTAGTGTTCAGTGGCAGTTGTGTATATAATGTTCTTAGATATTGCAGTGCTGTGCTGACATATTGCTCCTATGAATCGATGATGTTCACGGAGGGAATTTGAAGCTTATGGAGTTCGCCCAAGCCATCATCAGCAGGTCTCTAAACGTAACATACACTAAGTATTCTGGTATTATAGTGATTTCTATTTACTTTTTCTCGTCTTGCAATTGCTTAAAATACCGCTACGCTAAAAAATCGTTATCAGCGGGAAATTGTCTATGTTCACCTCATACATTACGTTTAGTTCTTTCAGCCGCTCATTAATCACCATCTCCAGTAGGTTGGAAATCCCATAAGTATTCTGGTAATGCTTTTTAGAAAATTCTTTCAAACTTTTAGTCCTCTGCCTAAACACTATGCCGCATTAGGCTATGCATGCTTGGGGGATGAAATGGACCAAAAACTTTATTTTTGTCGGTTTTTCTGGTCGCTCCAGAGGCCGCAATTACGGCCCAAACACCGTGAATTTTTGCACGGAGAAGGGGATCGGGCCAAAAGATAAGCATGCCTGTTTTGATAAAGATCGGTCAATATTTAGCGGGTCTAATGGACCCTGACTTTTGTGTGAAAAATGACCAAATTTGTATCCTATAGCGTATAGATTTACCGCTGAAGGATATAGACCCGGCAAGTTGATAGTATACCCAAGAGGAGTGGTTGACCTTTAAATTGATACCAATTTTATTGTCGTATGTACTCGGATGTGGGAGTTACACTGAAATGTTTACAGGTACTTACGTACTCAGATATTATTTAGTAACCCATTACCACACTAGAGGGCGGAAATATAGCGCTCATCGCTTTGAAATTTTCACTAGTATCCAGATATGGTCTAGGACAACGCCTATAATTTTTGGTGATGATCAGATACTAATATTGGGATGAAGTGGACCGAAAACGTATCTTTTTGCTTTTTCGAGTAGATCTACAGTCCACAGTTGAAAGCCGAACATCACAAAACAACCCACGTTGAAGGGAATCTGGACAAGTAATTAGAAGGAATGTACTGAATAGTAGTAATATTTGTTGACCTTTAGTGGGTCAAGAGGGTGCAAACATCGCGAAATATTGCCCATGCTCAGAATGTGGTGCCACAGAAAGTTAGATGTTCATGGAAGATGTGTAGGGTATCATATGGTCGGCCCCGTCCGACTATACTGCTCCGCTCACTGGTTTTTTGTTGCATTGTTCAATGAAAAAAAACTCTCTTTCGATAATTGTCAAAGCCAGATTTTTTGCAGACAATTTGCTTTGCTACATTTTTTTTCATTTCGGTTTCTGCGTCAACTTCGAAAAAACGCAAACATTTTCTTATCATTAATTTAGTTGTCGATTTCGATAATTGAATTTCTTTAGGAAAAAGTAAACAGATTTTTGGCAACGATTTTTTATGTGGTTTGAGGTTACAAAAAAGTTGTCTTTGATTTTTTGGTTTAGATGTCTACAGGCATTTTTGCGGCAAAGATAAAAAACACAGAGGCGTAGAATGTGGAAAGGAAGTATTTTAACGAAATAGAAAAATGATATAAAACGAGGTTGGGCTGAGGATATTGATATTGCAAAAGAAAAGTGGGGAGGAAGTTCTGTAGAAAGAGTGTCACAGTTATGGAAATTAATGCACAAGTCTAACCTCCTAATATGTATGTCTAATAAATGACTCCGTGGTAGTGAAAAATATAGTACCCAAGTCTATTTAAAGCAGTCGTCCACAACTCCACATGTTTGAAAAATTAGCTAGTGGAATTCTTAAATTGTTTTAATTGATACTCCCGTTAAAGACGCCACTGCCTAACACAAAAAATTGCATTCTTCTGCCAATTTCAGGGGCCAGGTTTTTTGCTATCACTGGAAAGTGGCAATAGAAAAGAAAAAAAAGAAAACACGAAATTAGAAAAACTTTTGTCTGCCATCTTCACAGTTTACGCTCACTTTTCTTAGACAACAACTTCTTTCAACATCAATGTCTAAGCCAAACCAATCGGCCTGTACATTTGGAAAATACAATGTGAAGAAAGGGGTGACGTAAAATAACACTAATTTACCATTAAATTTAGCTACTATCCATCCCGTCAAACTTTCTTCGATGCATGTGGTTTTCAGCGAAGTAATTGATTTCTTGAACATAAATTGTTCCGTTTTGTGTTTAACATCCGCCAAGTTGTGTCCATCTGAACGTTAAATATCCAAGCCGAAAATATTTTCGTGATACTATTTCGGAGAAAATATAGTACCCATGAGGAGTTGTTGACCTTTAAATATAGAGTGGTGGCCAAAACTAAAGCAACTAAAATTACAAACTGAATAAATCTACTGTAACATTTTTAAAAATTAATTTTTAGCGAAATTTTTTTTTTAGAAATAAATAGATAATTTATTCACTTCATACGCAAAAAATATAAACACAAAATTTATTTTGAAATAAAAAATATTCTATGGAAAATTTTTATTTTTTTTTTAAATAAGTAAATTTAGATAGTACAGTCGACTCCGCTTTACTGTAAGTCGCTTAACTGAAAAATATCGGATAAGAGAAATAGATTACCTGCACCATTTCATTTTGGTTAGTCACCCACAATTTACTCCGGATAAGTGAAACTTCGCATAGCTGAAAATATCGGATAACTGAAATATCTTTTGAAGTCAAATATTGTAATTTCCTTTGAAAACACTCCGCATTACTGAAAGTCATGAGGATGAGAGATAATTACAGAGTATTTTGCATTGAGGAATAAATATCTTCAAAGCCCACCCCAACAGATATTTTTCTCTAATTATTGATTATTACCGACATATGGAACGTGTGTGTCAACTACATATAAATCTGACGTTAAGTTTGTCCGGCCAAACTTCGAAAGGAACCCAAAAACACCGTTCCACATTTCTATATTTTATATACAAGAATCAAGGATGTATCAAAATATGTTACAGAATGTACGTTCATAATCGAAAGGTCAATACGAGTTCCCATAAAATTAACAAACTTTTGAGGAGGTTGTCCACTTTTAACTACTCTAAGTGATTATTTAAAGGCTACAAGATGATAACCAAGTTCTATATAGGAATAATGTATAAATGTGAACAGATTTAGCAATGGCGTATGTTAGTCATTCACAACCCCATATTGCATATTACAGCCAAGTCAGGTGTTAAATAGCCTTAAAATCGGCTAGTATCGTAATATGAAACATTTTCAAAGACATGGTTCGATATTTTCCGTTCGGTTTTAAAATCAATCCATCTAAGATATATCATAAATATTATAATATATTATTGAAGAAATAATATTTAAAATAGATCTTAGCATTGCAAGAGGCAGACGATGGACTTCGTTACAAGCCGCTCATTTTAGTAATGCACATTAAAAGACAGTTCATAATAAAATCACATAAGAAATGAACATGCCAACCAGTTTTAATTTCTATCTATATTCTATATCTATATTCGTTAAATTCGAAAAAAATAGATTATTCAAATTTCTTAAGGGTTTTTTCCATTTCAGTAAAGCGGAGTCGACTGTAATCGGAACCGTAAACATTATTTTTGATAACGACACACCTACGAGGAACTGCATCTATATACTATTGGATATACTATTCCTCGCATCCATAACTTTGGGAAGAGGTTATATTTGACAGTTTCTGAATTTGTTTTGATTTTGCTGCCTATGATACTCTAACGATTTTTTCATAGGGTGAAGATCTGATAATTGTGTTGGCCATTGTTGACACTGATTTCTGACTTCCGCAACCAATCATTGATATATTTCGATGTATGTTTGACGTTATTGTGAAGCTGAAACAAACTGACAAACCCATGGACTAATTGAGCAACCATTTGTTTTTTGTTATCATTCTAAATTCAATTTAATACA